TTCTCCTCGACAACATTGTCTTTTTCCTGTGTGAATACTGACGAAAAGTATTCATTTAGCGCTTCTCCTATCTCTTCAGACTCCACGCACAACTTCCCACTATTGTCCTTGACCGGCCCTAATCTTACTCGAGTCATTCTTTTATTCCTGACATACCTATAGAAAGCTTTAGGGTTTTCCTTGATCCTACCTGCTAAAGACTTCTCATATCCCCTCCTGGCTCTTCTTAACTCTCTCTTTAGGTCCTTCCTGGCTAACTTGTATGAGGAGAGATTGACTAGGTTAGGATTGTTTTTGCTGGAATTCAGATGAATGAGGGGGATCTCATAGAAACTTATAAAACTCTAACAGGACTGGATAATGTAGATGCAGGGAGGATGTTCCTGATGGTGGGTGTGTCCAGAACCAGGGGTCACAGTATGAGGATTCGGGGTAGACCATTTAGGATGGAGATGAGGAGACATTTCTTCATCCAAAGAGTGGTGAGCCTGTGGAATTCATTACCACAGGAAGTAGTTGATGCCAAAACACTGAATGTATTCAAGAGGCAACTAGGTATAGCACTTGAGGCAAATGGGATTGAACGTTATGGGGAGAAAGCAGGATTCAGCTATTGAGTTGGACGATCAGCCATGATTGTGAAGAATGGCACAGCAGGATCGAAGGGCCAAATGGCCTCCTCCTGCTCCTTTCTTCTATGTTTCTATGAGAGAGTGAGTGAGCAAGAGAGAGAGAGAGCAAGAGAGAGTGAAAGTGAGAAAGTTTCTCTGTTAACTCTGTTTCTCTCTCCACAGATACTGCCAGACCCGCTGAGTTTCCAGAGCAATTTGTTGTGTTTGTCTCTTCCTCCAGGATTAGACAGGATAGAGACTAGCGCTGACCAGGAACTCCTTCCACAGGTACAGTAGGACCAGTAGCTGGGTGAGAGATACAGGTACATGTGTAGATAGCAAGGTATAGAGCTGGATGAACACAGCAGGCCAAGCAGCATCGGAGGAGCAGGAAGGCTGACGTTTCAGGCCGAGACCCTTCTTCAGAAATGGGGGAGGGGAAGGGGATTCTGAAATAAATAGGGAGAGGGGAGAGGCGGATAGAAGATGGATAGAGGAGAAGATAGGTGGAGAGGAGACAGACAGGTCAAAGAGGCAGGGATGGAGCCAGTAAAGGTGAGTGTAGGTGGGGAGTTAGGGAGGAGATAGGTCAGTCCAGGGAGGACAGACAGGTCAAGGGGGCAGGATGAGGTTAGTAGGTAGGAGATGGGGGTGGGGCTTGAAGTGGGAGGAGGGGATAGGTGAGAGGAAGGACAGGTTAGGGAGGCGGGAACGAGCTGGGCTGGTTTTGGGATGCGGTAGGGGGAAGGGAGATTTTGAAGCTTGCGAAGTCCACATTGATACCATTGGGCTGCAGGGTTCCCAAGCGGAATATGAGTTGCTGTTCCTGCAACCTTCAGGTAGCAACGTTGTGGCACTGCAGTCTCTGGCAACCACCTAGAAACCGATATCCATTTCAAGCCCACCGACTCCCACAGATACCTAGAATACACCTCCTCCCACACACCTTCCTGCAAAAATGCCATCCCCTACTCCCAATTCCTTTGCCTCCACCGCATCTGCTCCCAGGATGAGGCATTCCACTCCCGTACATCTCAGATGTCCTCGTTTTTCACGGACCGCAACTTCCCCCCCTCAGTGGTCGAGAACACCCTCGACCGTGTCTCCCGCATTTCCTGTAACTCATCCCTCACACCCCCTCCCCGCAATAACAGCCAAAACAGAATCCCCCTCGCCCTCACGTACCACCCCACCAACCTCCGGATCCAACACATCATCCTCCAACACTTCCACCATCTGCAATCCGACCCCACCACCAAAGGCATTTTTCCCTCTCCCCCCTTATCTGCTTTCCGGAGGGACCACTCTCTCCAGGACTCCCTTGTCTGCTCCACATTCCCCTCCAGTCCCACCACACCCAGCTCTTTTCCCTGCAACTGCAGGAAGTGCTACACCTGCCCCTACACCTCCCCCCTCACCCCCATCCCAGGCCCCAAGAAGACTTTCCACATCAAGAAGATGTTCACCTGCACATCTGTTAATGTGGTATACTGCATCCGCTGTTTCCGTTGTGGCTTCCTCTACGTCGGGGAAACCAAGCGGAGGCTTGGGGACTGATTTGCAGAACACCTACGCTCGGTTCGCACTAAACAACTGCACCTCCCAGTCGCGAACCATTTCAACTTCCCCTCCCATTCCTCAGACGACATGTCCATCCTGGGCCTCCTGCAGTGCCACAACGATGCTACCCGAAGGTTACAGGAACAGCAACTCATATTCCGCTTGGGAACCCTGCAGCCCAATGGTATCAACGTGGACTTCGCAAGCTTCAAAATCTCCCCTCTCCCTACCGCATCCCAAAACCAGTCCAGCTCGTTCCCGCCTCCCTAACCTGTCCTTCCTCTCACCTATCCCCTCCTCCCACTTCAAGCCCCACCCCCATCTCCTACCTACTAACCTCATCCCGCCCCCTTGACCTGTCCGTCCTCCCTGGACTGACCTATCTCCTCCCTAACTCCCCACCTACATTCACCTTTACTGGCTCCATCCCCGCCTCTTTGACCTGTCTGTCTCCTCTCCATCTATCTTCTCCTCTATCCCTCTTCTATCTGCCTCCCCCTCTCTCCCTATTTATTTCAGAACCCCCTTCCCCTCCCCCATTTCTGAAGAAGGGTCTAGGCCTTCCTGGTCCTCTGATACTGCTTGGCCTGCTATGTTCATCCAGCTCTACACCTTGTTATCTCAGATTCTCCAGCATCTGTAGTTCCTACTGTCTCAGGTACATGCGTACATGGGTTCTCAAAGTGATTGCATGTTGAACTAAGAGAACAGCCATGTCTTTAAGCTATTTCTGGCCCAGTAAAACAGCAATTACCGTGATTCAATTATCTACAAGTCAGCAATGCCTGCTTTCCTTTGGAGCTGCTGGTCAGTGCTGGGATCTTCCGTATTCTGAACAGGCAACCAATCACAGCTCAGTGGGTAGCACACTCACCTCCAAGCCAGACCACTGAGGGGTCAGACACTTAACTATATGGTCCATTTCGGAGGGAGCATTACACTGTCATAGGTGTTATCCTTTGAAAGGGAGCCCAGACTACCCTCCCTGGTTGCACATAAAAGGTCCTGGGGTAATATCTGAAGAGCAAGGAAGTCCTGCAAATATTCATTCCGCATCATCATGAAAACTGATGATCTTACCATCTGCTGTGGGATCTTGCTGTGTACAAATTGGCCACTGTATTTTCTACATTACGGCAGTGACTACATGTCAAAAAAAAATGATTGGCTGTTAAAGCACTTTGTGGTTCAACACTACAATTTGAAAATTTTCAGCCTGTAAATCTCTTTAGTCCTACTGTTAGAACTCAGTGATCTGCCAATCCTACCTTCTTGTGCTTCCAATTTTAATTTCTCTGCCATTGGTGCCAATGCCTTCGGCTGCCTAGGCCCCCAGTTCTCAAATTCTCTTGATAAACCCTTCCATCGCTCTGTTGTCCTTTAACATGGATCTTGAAAAGAAGCTCTTTGACTGGCTCACGTCAGATTTCCATGTGATTATGCTCCTGTGAAGCTTTCATTTTAACCCAGGTTTTAATTCTGATAAAGATGCTACAGAAATCTAAGTTGTTGTTGCTGGAAAGTTACCTTCAAGAGAACATCACGGTATTTAGAGAAGTCATTCAGGCAATTTAACACCTTTAACAAAAACATCACTACAAGACTGCGCAGCGGTTGTCAATTCTAAATGCAGGTTCATCTGTAAGTTTCGAAGAGATGTCAGTACAGGCTTGCTCCTTGGACAGATGTACAGAAAAGCAGCAAGTCTTATCAAGCAATTTTCTTTGCTCACGTTGTTAGTCACTGGCAGAAAAATGCAGAGGGAAACTGATTGGGGAGAGGCTGTGATGGAATTTGAGAGATTAGTTCATTGCCACAGCTACAGAATTTCCTCCAGATACAAACTTTCTGGAAAGCGCTGCTAAACCACGTACGTATTTGTAAAATATAGTTTGTATGCATAAAGCAGTGCCAGCTGGGCCAGCATTTATTGCCCACCTAGATGCCCTTGAGAAGGAGGTGGTGAGCTACTTTCTTGTACCGCTGCAGTCCATGTGCTGTGGGTTGACCAAAAATGCACCTACAGAGGGAATTCCAGGATTTTGATCCAGCAACACTGATGGAGAGGTGATATATTTCCAAGTTGGGACACGAGTGACTTTGAGGAGAACATGTGGTGGTGATGTTCCCATGTATCTGCTGCCCTTGTCCTTTTGGATGGAAGTGGTTGTGGGTTTGGAAGGTGCTGTCTGAGGATCTTTGGTGAATTTCTGCAGTGCATCTTGTAGATAGTACACACTGCTGCTACTGAGCGTCGGTGGTGGAGGGAGTGGATACTTGTGGATGTGATGCCAATCAAGCGGGCTGCTTTGTCCTGGATGGTGTCAAGTTTCGTGAGTGTTGTTGGGGCTGCCCCCATCCAGGCAAGTGGGGAGTATTCCATCACACTCCTGACTCATGCCTTGGTGAAGAGGGCTTTTTGGTTACTCTGGTGTAAAGTACTGAGCTACCTCTTCCCCTTCAGTGAAAGCTGGATTATTTTATACTTCTCTTGGAGTTAGATTCTCTCTACAACATCCTGTCAGAGTGACCTTCAGAGAGAAATGTGGAGAAAGCTGATCACACACTGGATACTTTCTCTGTGGATGCAGGGCCTAGTGGCACTATCACTAGAATATTAATCCAGATACTTAGCTCATGTTATAGGGACCCAGGATCAAATCCCACCATGTGTAATTTGAATTCAATAAAAAATATCTGGAATTAAGAACCTAAAGATTACCATAAAACCACTGTCGATTGTCAGAAAAACCCATCTAATGTCCTTCAGGGAAGGAAATCTACCATCCTTACCTGGTCTGGCCTCCATGTGACTCCAGACCCACAGCAATGTGGTTCACTCTCAGCTGCCCTCTGAAATGGCCTAGCAAGCCACTCAGTTGCATAAATTGCTATGAAGTCTCAACAAAGAAATGAAACCAGATAGACCACCCAGCATCAACCTTAACACCAGAAAAGACAACGGCAGAAACAGCCCTGTCGACCCTGCAAAGTCCTCCTCACTAATATCTGGGGGTTAGTGCCAAAGTTGGGAGAGCTGCCTCACAGACTAGTCAAGCAACAGCCTGGCATAGTCATACTTACAGAATCATACCTTACAGACAACATCCCAGACACCACCATCACCGTCCCTGGATATGTCCTGTCCCACCAACAGGACAGACCCAGCAGAGGGGGCGGCACAGTGGTACACAGTTGGGAAGGTGTTGCTCTAGGAGTCTTCAACATTGACGCTGGATCCCATGAAGTCTCATGGCTTCAGATTAAACATGAGCAAGGAAACTTCCCTGCTGGTTACCACGAACTGTCCTCCCCCAGCTGATGAATCTGTACTCCTCCATGCTGAGCAACGCTTAGAGGAAGCATTGAGGATGGCATGTGTGCAAAGTGTACTCTGTGTGAGGGCTTTCAATGTTCGTCACCAAGAGTGGCTTGGCAGCAGTACTACTGATCGAGCTGGTCAGATCCATATGCATAGAAACCCTACAGTGTGGAAACATGCCATTCACCCCAACAAGTCCACACTGCCCCTCCGAAGAGCGTCCCACCCAGACCCACGTCCCTACACTATCCCTATAACCCTGCATTCCCCATGGCTAACCCACATAGCCTGCACATCCCTGGACACTAGGAGCAATTTAGCATGGCCAATCCACCCTAACCAGCACACCTTTGGACTGTGGGAGGAAACCAGAGCACCCGGAGGAAACCCACGCAGACATGGGGAGAATGTGTAAACTCCACACAGTCACTCGAGGGTGGAATTGAACTGGGCCCCTGTCACTGTGAGGCAGCAGTGCTAACCACTGAGCCACCGAAAAGACATTGCTGTTAGACTGGGTCTGTGGCAGGTGGTGAGGGAATCAACAAGAGGGAAAAACATAAAAACTGAAAGAACTGCAGATGCTGTAAATCAGACACAAAAATAGAAATTGCTGGAAAAGCTCAGCAGGTCTGGCAGCAGCTATGGAGTGAAATCAGAGTTAACGTTGCAGGTTGAGTGACCCTTCCTCAGAGCTGGGGAAACAGAAGAGGGAAAAGCATACTTGACCTCATCCTTACCAATCTGCCAGCTGCAGATGTACCTATCCATGACAGTATCAGTAAGAGTGACCATTGCACAGTCCTTGTGGAGACGAAGTCCCGCCTTCACATTGAGGATAACCTCTATTGTGTTGTGTGTTATTATCACTGTGCTAAATGGGACAGACTTCGCACAGATCTAGCAACTCAAAACTGGGCATCCATGAGGCACTGGGCCATCAACAGCAGCAGAATTGTACTCCAGCACAATCTGTAACCTCATGGGCTGGCATTCCCCTCCCGCAACTCCCCACCAACCATTACCATCAAGCCAGGGGATCAACCCTAGTTCAATGGAGAGTGCAGGAGGGCATGCCAGGAGCAGCACCAGGCATACCTGAAGATGAGGTGTCAACCTGGTGAAGCCACCAAACAGGACTACTTGCAAAAGCAGCAAGTGATAGACAGAGCTAAGCGATCCCACAACCAATGGATCAGATCTAAGCTCTGCAGTCCTGCCACATCCAGTCGTGAATGGTGGTGGACAATTAAACAACTTGCTGCAGGAGGAGGCTCCACAAATATGACCATTCTGTACACAAAATGCAAGACAAATCCAACCCAGCCAATTACTGCCCCATCAACCTATTCTCAATCATCAGTAAAGTGATGGAAGGTATCATCAATGATGCCATCACGTAGTACCTGCTCAGAAATAACCTGCTCACTGATGCCCAGTTTAGGTTCTGCCAGGGTCGCTCAGCTCATGACCTCATTGCAGGTTTGGTTCAAACATGGACAAAAGAGCTGAATTCCAGAGGTGAGGTGAGAGTGACAACCCTTGACATCAAGGCTGCATTTGACTGAGTGTGGCATCAAGGAGCCCTGGCAAAACAGGAATGAGAATGAAGGGACAAACTCTCTGGCACATAAAAAGATGGCTGTGGTTGTTGGAGGTCAGTCATCTCAGCTCCAAGACATCTCTGCAGGAATTACTCAGGGTAGTGTCTTAGGCCCAACCGTCTACAGCTGCTTCATCAATGACCTTCCCTCCATCATAAGGTCAAAAGTCGGGGTGTTCACTGATGAGTGCACAATGTTCAGCACCATTCGTAACTCCTCAGATATTGAAGCAATCCTTGTTCAAGTGCAACAAGATCTGGACAATATGAAGGCTTGGGCTGACAAGAAGCAAGTAACATTCGCGCCACACAAATGCCAGGCTATGACCATCACCAATAAGAGACAATCTAACCACCGCCCCTGGACATTCTGTGGTGTTACCATCACTGAATTCCCCACTATCCACATTCTGGGGGTTACCAGTAACCAGAAACTCAACTGGGCTCACCACGTAAACACAGTGGCTACAAGAGTAGGTCACAGACATGGAATACTGTGGCGAATAACTCACCTCCGCACTCCCCAAAACCTGTCCGCCATCAACAAGACACAAGACAGGAATGTGATGGAATACTCTCTATTTGTTTGGATTGGTACAGCTCCAACACCATTCAATTAGCTTGACACCATCCAGGACAAAGCAGCCCGCTTGATTGGCACTACATCCACAATAATCCACTCCCTCCACCACCGACGCTCAGTAGCAGCAGTGTGTACCATCTACAAGATGCATTGTAGAAATTCACCAAAATCCTTAGACAGCACCTTCCAAATCCAAGACTACTTCCAACTAGAAGGACAAGGGCATCAGATACATGGAAACAATATCCCCTGCAAGTTCCCCTCCAAGCCACTCATCATCCTGACTGGAAATATATTACCATTCCTGCAGTGTTGCTGGGTCAGAATCCTGTAATTCCCTCTCTAAGGACATTGTGGGTCTACCCTCAGCACATAGGCTGCAGCGGTTCAATAGAAGGCAGCTCACCCCCACCGTCTCAAGGCGTAACTAGGGACGGGCAATGCCGGCTCAGCCATCTACACCCACATCACACGAATGAATTTAAAAAAAGCTCTCCACAATCCAACAACACTTTGCATTGATATAGTGCTTTTAACATGATAAAATGTCTTTTTACATCTCATGTGAAGCAAATAAAATGCAAACATCGGGCACTCAGAGTACTAACACACCTTCAGAGGGGTCAATCTCTAATTGTGACCTTCCCACGTTTAAAGGTCAGGATGAAGAATGAACACGAGTTCTCACACACAGCCATCCTGTCTCGCTGCTGCCCACTGCAGGTGACCACTGGTCTCAACATTTACAACAAGCTTCAACAGGAGGGTTAATCCCTGGGCGTATCACTGTTTGTTTCTTTGGGCTAAGGGATTTTGGGGTCATTGACCCGTAGCAGAACATAAAAGAAAGACTTCCATTTCTATGCTGTCTTCATGACCTGAGGCCATCTACAAAAGTGCTTTCCAACCCATGAAGTACTTTTCGAAATAAAGTGCTTTTCGAATGAAGAGAATGTGCAGTCAACTCACATGCAGCAAGATCCCACACACAGAAACTCAATGGAAGTTTAACTGATGTTGGTTGAGGGATAAGTATTGGGCAGAGCATCGTAGAGAGCTTCTGTTCTTCAAAGCAATGCCATGGGATCGTGAACATCTACCAAGAAGGAGGATATCTCCTCATTTTAAATTTCATTGAAATGGTGATGCCTCCAACGTTGGGGAGTGCTGTGGGAATGGGAGTTGGCCATTCAGCCCCTCAAGCCTGCACTGCCATTCGAGACCATGGCCGATGAGCCACCTCAACACCAGATTCCCATGCTATTTCCTATCCCTTAATGCCATCAGTAACTAGAAATCTAGCAACCTCTATAATCAATGACTGAGGTTCTACAGAATTCCAAAGATTCATTACCCTCTGAGTGAAGAAATTCCTCCTCATCTGAGTCCCAAATAGCTGACCCCTGACTCTGAGACTGAGTACTTAGTTGTAGACCCCTCACCCCCCAGCCACGGGGCACATCCTTACCATATCCATGCTGCCCAGCCCTTTACGGATTTTGGAGGTTTTCCAGGTGATCATCCTCTTTCTTCTAAACTATGGGCTGGGTCTCCTCCATCTGTCCTCTCAGAACTGTCCCACGGACCCAGGAGTCAGACTGGTGAACCCCCGCTGCACTCCCTCTGTGTGCTACCTAATGAGTCTTAATGGAGATTCCTTGTTATAGCCACCCAGAGTTAATTGGATGGGTATTTGAACATGATTGTCTCTTGCTCTTGGTTTTGAGTGGTCTAGTATTTACTGCTTGGAATGGTCAGTTCTTGAAGATTTGGTTGGGGAGGTGTGTTGGTGCATTGGGTAAGTCTGCTTGTCTGCATGGTTACCAGTTCTAACATACAACAGAAAATGGTCATTAATCAAAGGTTAGTGTGATGTTTGACGCCCACCTAGAGTCGAAGAAGGTTCCATCCAACAGACTGCCATTGTAGTGATAGCGGATGAAGTCTCCAGTCTCGATTTGCCGAGTGCAGGGTTCTGGGACAACCAGCTTCTCTATGGAGACTGTGTCATTCTGGTTGTGGAGATCCAGCAGCAGAGTATCAAATACCAAACTGGCCTGTGGGGGAATGTCACTGCCTAATGAGACAGCAGCAAGAACCAGACAGAGTTAAACTACAGGGAGATACATTCAGGCGATAAATATTCACAGTCTGTGCCAAATATCATTATGAACGCATGTGTATGCACTGCAGGCATCTCCCTCCCTGTTAGGAAGCAGATGGGAAGACAATTATCACGCTTCGATTTCAGAAAATGGGATTAAAACAATTCCCCAAACCCAGGGAATCTTAGCCTACCCTCCCACCCCCACCCTGAACTGGGACAAGAGGACAGTTTAGGCATTGTCTTTCATTCAATCCTGTTAAAGATTGGAACTCTTGTGAACTTATTCTCCGAATCCTTTATCCCCTAAACACACGGCTCTCCTGCATCATCACTATAAAATCAAAAATTGTTTTGTTATCCCTTACACCAAATCAGCTTTTCCCTGGATTTCAAACTTCTCATAGTCAAAGCTTGATATCAGGTGACTACTGCTTCCCAGATTGGCTTCACCTTCCTTCTGTTAGGGACCTCAGCGCTGTCCTGCATTGAGACTCTTTACCCTTTCAGTTCTCATCAATTTTAAAACTATATTCTTCCCTGTACACTCATTTTCTTGTGGGTGGTGGGGGAGAAAGGGGAGGCTGTGATTGTCCTCTGCAATCACAAGCTTGTTGAAGGCCTCTGGGGCGAAACAACACCTTTGTAAATAAATAAGAAAACTGTCAGTTTCCGGGGTATGAAATGTCACCAGGTCCTGGCTAACTGCATCTGTATTTGTATCAGATTGTTAGGAACCAGTCCAGACCTGTATCCCTGGGCTGTCTCCTGCAATCATCATCGCTCAATATTGCAAAGACGTGTTGCCTCAGGAGCAGGAGCTGTTTTAACAGGAGATGCAGGCAGATGGCAAACACACTTTGTACATGGGTTTGTGTTTGTCAGGGAGGGGACAGGGAAGCACACACAAGAGATGGAAGTGACAGGGAGCAAGAGGCTAAAGCTGCCTACCTCCATGTGTGCAGTCTGTAACCATTAGCGAAATGAAGACCGATATCCAGGAGAGGCATCAGAAACACAGACATCGTTGTCCCCCAGTACCACCGAAGATCTGGAGGATGTACAGAGTAAAACTCTGCCTGTGGGGCTTACCTCTTTATCCTTTGCGTTATCTTCACCTGCTCTCAATCACCAGCCAGAATCAACGGCCAGGTTAAAGAATTTCATTGGTTTAAAGTATTAAAGATAATGGAGCCAAGGTAGACAGATGGAGCTAAGATACAGTGTAGCCTTGGTCAAAGTGAATAGGGAAATTATTTCAAAGGGCTGAATGGCCTCATCTGCTCTGATGTTAAGAATGAGAGTCTTGGGGGACAATCAGATCATTTGATGTGATGCTGTCCCCAGTGCATGCCCCCCATCACTGTCAGGCAGGACATCACCAGCATATTACCCTCCTGGTCTGAAGGCACAGTCTTATACTGGGTTTTTATCAATTCAGTCACATCAACCATCAATGATGAATTGACTGTGCACAGCCCAGACCATCACAGAAGACACCCTTTCATCCATGGGCTCCATTTACAAGGCTCACTGCTGCAGAAAGGCAGCCAACATCTTCAAAGACCCATCGCACCCCGGTAATGATCTCCTACAACCTCTTCCATCAGGCAGAAGATACAGAATCCTGAACACATCAGCAGGTTCAGGAACAGCTTCTTCCTGGCCACTATCAGACTGATGAATGGACTCTCTAACTTTAAATAACACCGATCTTTTTAGTGTTGATTTTGCCTAGCGCATGCCCTGTGTGATGTATGCCTCTGTCCAAGTCTTTTTTGGCCCACCCATGACCTGTACATCCTTGTTTACAATGATCTGCCTGTACTGCTCATAAATAAAGTTTTTACCTAGTTACACATGACAATAAATAAATCAAATCAAATCACAGGCTATTTCACAGAATCGTTATGTCCATTCAGCCCATGTCTTCACCACAATTGAGCACAACCTTGTCCTGATTCAATGTATCGACCCTCCAACCGGGATCAATCAGGTACACAGGCAGGACAATGTTAATGCCCTGGCTACTAAGAGAAGCACTAAGCAGGTTTAAAGCTCATGTACTTTCTGGTCATGGGTCAATAAATCAGTCCACTGAGCCTCGGAGGATCGCAGACTGGGGTAGGATCGTTCTGCTTCTACAGTTTGTGGTGGCGGTGTTGGTGTGTGTGTGTGTGTGGGGAGGGGTGGGGGGTTGGGAGGAATGGGGGTGGCAGTGTTTGAAACTAACGCTCTGGTACAGAGGCTTCAGAGTTGGATGTAATTCCCAGTGCTGTGGAGATAGTTGTCTTCCAGGGATATCACTTACCATACCCAGTCTCTCCGTAGGCCAGGAATGGAGGGATGATGATAATTCTTCTCTCTCCTACACACATTCCCAGGAGCCCTTCATCCATCCCCTTGATCAACCAGCCAATACCCACATAGGTGTCGTACGTACTCATGCGATTGTGACTGTGGGAGGAGGGAGAGGAACTAAAGAATGAAAAATATACAAAGCAGAGGAACCACTTTCACACCCACCCACCCCAACAGCCCACCCAAAACCCCCCATCCCAAACTCCCCACCCACCCACCCATTGCTGAGGAGGGTGCTGGAACCAGGAGTGGAGAGTGGACTGAAGATATGAGTAAAACATTCAAATTGGACACCAACATTAGACTCTGATTTAACCATCAGAACATGTCTACAGCACAGAAACTGGCTATTTGGCCCAACAGCACCACACGAGTAGCTATTCTCCATGAAAACCTCTTCATCCCACCCCACCAACATCACCTTGTATTCATTTCTCCCTCATGTGTTTATACAGATTCCCACAGAATCTGTCTACACCATCTAACTCGGCCACTCCTTGGGATCCCAAGCTCCACATTCTCACCAAAGAACAAAAAAACACATCTCCCAAATTCTAGATTCAGTAAATGTTTCAAACATTGGTTTTTGAGTTGTTGTCATAGATGTAGACTAACCTGTCAAGGATTTCCAGATGTAGTTGGATGTCTTTAAATCAGCCAGTCATTTATAAACATGACATCCAGCTTGAATGAGAATGAAAACAACCTCCCTGTTCCACTGGGATTGACCTTCCTGACAAACCCCATTACTGACAAAAAGCAAAAATGTGGGACAAAGCATAATTGTTCTTTCAAAGAGCCCAGCAGAGAACAATGGGCAGAAATGCTTCTGTGCTGTAAGGTCCTACAAGAGGATCAAACTTAAGCCCATGTCTTGGATTCCTTTACTGTAAGCTCCTGATGACAGTTCTGTTGTTCTGAGCTGTTGCCAAGAGAAGGCTCAAGGATATGAACACAGGAAAAGACTGAAAAACACAGAATGAATGTACAGTGAGTCCATTAAATACTCCTATCTAATGGGCTCTTTCATTTTGCATAGAGAAGCTTGAATAACAACACTGCCTCTTGCCAGCAATAAGGTCAGCTCTGAACTGAACATTGTTGCCAGACTTCACACAGGTCAAGAGACCCTGGAAGAGAAATAAAAATTGTGGCTACTGGAGAAACTCAGCAGGTCTGGCAATGTCTGTGAAGAGAGGAACAGAGTTAACACTGAGTCTAGTATGCCTTCTTCAGAGCCAAAGAGAAGTGAAAGAGACAAAGAGAAATCCTGGAGAGAAGATAAAACTTCCTTAAGGTAAACATTCCTTGTGAGGGAGAATGTCACAGGAGAAAAGGATCTGGAACCCTTACACTCAGCACACTATGGTGTTTTAATTATTCTGGAGGGAACTGGGAATGGCAGCAATCACACATCTACCCAACTAAAATCTGAAATTATTTTGACAAAAATCATAAATGGAGGATTTGACAATACAGGTCAATTGGGTCAAGCTGAGAGAATGTACAAGATATAAGGAGCTAGTTTTGTGATTTGAACTTGTGGCTGTCTGGAGAGGTGGGACTTTTGCATGATACAGCTCGATGGAGGTGATGAATTCTAGTAGAACCAGCAAAGAGGATAGTTACAGGGTTATCTGTTCTAATGAAAAGGGGCAAGGGTTCTAGGTATATTCAAAAAGCAAAACAGTCATTTTTTACAATTAATTCATGGGATGTAGACATCACTGGCTAGGTCAGGTTTTTCCATCCTTAACTGCCTTTGTGAAGATGGTAATGAGCCACTTTCTGGTAACACTGGAGGTAACCTCGAGGTGTTGGTATGTCCACAATGCTGTTAGGAGGAAGTTCCAGGACTTTGACCAGCAACACTGGGTGATATATTTCCAAGTCAGGATGGTGATTAATGTGGAAGAAACTTGCAGGGTGGTGGTGTTCCTGTGTATCTGCTGCCCTTGTCCTTCTAGATGGGTTTGGAAGGTGCTGTCTAAGGAGCCTTGGTGAATTTCCGCAGTACATCATGTAGACGGTACACACTGCTGCTACTGACTGTCGGTGGTGGAGGAATGAATGTCGATAATGGTAGATGTGGTGCTAATCAAATGGGCTTCTTTCTCCTGGATGGTGTCAAGCTTCTTGAGTGTTGTTGGGGCTGCACTCATCCAGGCAAGTGGGGAGTATTCCATCACACTCCTGACTTGTGCCTTGTAGATGGTGGACAGGCTTTGGGGAGTCAGGAAATGAGTTACTTAGGGCAGCATTCCCAGTCTCTGACATGCTCTTGTAGCCACTGTATTAATATGTCAAGTCCAGGTGTTTCTGGTCAATGGTAATCCCCAGGATGTTGACAGTGGGGGATTCAATGGTAACATCATTGAATGTCAAGGGACAGTGGCTGGATTGTCTCTTATTGGAGATGGTCACTGCCTGACTGGTCAGCATGATGGTTCATCAGGGATGTAAACCTGAGGCAAGTCCATGGGACTTAGGGGCAGCATGCTGACTTAGTATTTAGCACTGCTCCTCACAGCGCCAGAGACCTGGGTTTGATTCCACCCTCAGGCGACTGTCTGTGCGGAGTTTGCACACTCTCCCTGTGTCTGTGTGGGTTTCCTCTGGGTGCTCCGGTTTCCTCCCACAGTCCAAAGATGTGCAGGTTAGGGTGGAATAGCCAGGCTAAATTACCCATAGTGTTCACGGATGAGCAGGCTAGGTGGGTTAGCCGTGGGAAATGCAGCGTCCTAGGGATGGGGTGAGTCAGGGTGGAATGCTCTTCGGAGGGTTGGAGTAGACCAGATGGGCTGAATGGCCTGCTTCTACACTTTGGGGATTCTATGATTCATATGACTCAGTGGCTGGGGGAGGTACAAGGAAGTGATTCAATGGTTAGGGGAATAGATAGCTGTTTCTACAGCAGCAGCTGTGAATCCAGGATGCTGTGTTGCCTTCCTGGAGCCCAGATTGAGAATGTCACCAAGCAGTTGCAGAGCACTCAGAGAGGTAGGGGTTGGTAGGGTAATAGCCAGTCAGCATGTTCCACATCGGACTTAGGGAGTCACCTAGGCAATGAGCAAGCAGGACCTCTGAATTACTCCCAAAACCATGATCAAGTGAATACAGGAAGAGGAGGATTGAGCAGATGAATGTGTAACTGGAAAGATGGTGCTGAGGCACTGGGGCAAGCTGTAGAGGTGATGGCTGGATGAACCTTACACATAAACAAAGCTGGGACTGAGCTCCTAGTGGGCCATTTTGTTAGTGCTCTGGGCAAGTTTAATCAAACTCATTATGAGGGGGGTGGATGCGAACTAGGAGGTGGTATCAGAGAGGAATACCAATGGGCAAACAAGTACCAGAAGAGATAGATGGCACTCGAATGAGGAATAAAAAATTAACAGGTCATGTCAGAGTAAGGGAGAAAACAAGGAAGCCCAAATCAATGTAAATATGTGAATGCACAGAATGTGGTACATAAGATTGAGCACTGGGTCAGACTGTTCCATCGAAACACAATGTTGTGGCTATATAACAGAGACCTTACTCAAAGGGCAGGCCAGGTGTGAAACATTCCTGAATATGAGGTTATTCTAGAAAATGGACAAAAGTAGATTTTGGAGCAGCAGAAATAGTGGGAGACATCCACAGAAAGAGCTCAACATCATAGAGTAATCCTCATTCGAAAGGACACCACAGGCATTCCTAAGGGAAATTGGTGATACACTGATTCTATCCAATTCAAATCGATTGTATGTCAAAGAACAACTAGATAATGTTAAGCTTGTTAAAGGCTCAAGTGAGACTGTCCTATTAGATCCATACAATGGCTGATGAAACAGAAGTTGCAGCCTACAGAAATGAAACTGCACACTCTATGTGGAATTACTCTCAACAGCAAAGGGTAGTGTTGTGTAACATTGCAATGTGAAAAGCAAGAGCTTTAATGCTTGACCTCAACATCTTTCAGAAGACTGAGTGAGTTCAACTTATTCAAAGTGAGTAACTGTTGTCAGAACAATCCATTGTTGACATGCAGTCAAGGCAAAACCAATAGAAGCTTTTCATGGGTTTCCCTAGAGTCACAGAGAAGAAAGAAAATATTGAAACAATCTATCCAGATTAAAAAATGCTTCATTTTGTCAATAGAAAGGAAATCAGAAACTTTATAGGAATTATGAAAATGTTTTCTATTCCAAAGAATCTTCAGTTGATAAAAAGCAGAAAGGCTTGCAAGATATAGTAAATACTCAGAACAAGGAAGAGCAGTACAACCCAGTTGAGCTCATTGATGAATCTTTAACTGACATTGTTCAGACAGACAACCAGCCCACTAAATAAACTGATACAAAAAGTTTGACTTTGATGTCAGATGCTGAACTGACACAAGATCAATTGCAACATTTCAATTCTTCATCTCCAAAGAAGAATTAACAGTGCCCATGACAAAAATAATGCTAAGTAAGTAGAAAATCCTTCAGTAACATGACCAAGGATGTGCAAAAGTCTAATCCATCACTAATACAACCATAGACTTTTATTCTTCAATACCGATGTATCAGAGATTGACAGTAAAGATTTGCTTACACAGAATGGAGATGAGTAACGCACAAACTTATGAAAGGCAGAGAAATCAGATTCAAGACATGGTTAAGCAGAAATTCCTGGGTCTAAGGATCAAGGATACTTCAAGGAAGAAAGTTTTTGTTTTAACAGAGTAGGTGTCTTCCATGATGAACGTTCATGAGGTAAAAAATGTCCTGCAAATGAGCTTATGGGACAGCAAGAAGAGCTCCTCAGTGAAAGAAACTGGGAGATTAAAAATCCTCCAGTTAGTTTTTAATTCACTCGTGGGACATGGGCGTCGCTGGTTGGTCCAGTATTTATTGCCCATCCCTAGTTGCCCTTGAGAAGGTGGGGGGTCAGCTGTCTTCTTCAACTGCTGCAGTCCATGTGCTATAGGTACACCCACAATGTCCTTAAGAGAGAATTCCAGATAAGGAATGGACTAATTACCTCATCTAGCAGGAATGGCATCCTCCACAAAAGACATCCAAGAGATAAAAGGTCCTCCAGGGAGACAAATTAAAGTCAAGGTCAGAAACAAGTTCAACAGTCACAAACAGAAGACCTCCCAGTGTTCCCAGCAGATGAGAATATGTTCTGGAGAAATTGTGAAACTTCCAAGCCACCTGAATTTGTGAAGTCAGAGCTGTGGAGGATGATGAGATGGTGGTAAATGTAGTTATATACCTGCATGCATAAGGGCTAACTATGGGGACAAAAGTTTGAGGGGACATGTTGTATTGGGTAATGGTTGTGAAAGAGTTAATGTTGAAGGCCCAGCAATCTGATGATGTCACATAGTCATTGAGTGAACAGGAAGCAGTTCTAGCACAACTTCCTGATGGAGACAGATGTATCATCGCTGGCTCCTGATAGTCTTTGCGATTATGCCTAACTAGTCAATCTCAATTGTACCTAATTGCTATTTTGAAATACAACACATCTGCTCTAAGACAAGTGCCTCTTCTTGTTAAGATGTAATAGTGGCTTATCCTCCACCACTGCCAATTCGATGGTCCCTTCCACTCAACAAGGACAGGAGGCTTGGTGGCGGTATTCTTGGGACCAAAAATCAGATTTACACAGAGGCAGAGGATTAAGCCAAGGTATTAAATGAATATCTTGCAAGTGTCTTTACCAAGAAAGGTGATGCTATCCAGCCCGTGGTGAAAGAGGAGGTAATCAGACCTAGAAAGGTTTAAATTTACAAGGAGACAATTTTGGATATCCTGTCTGTGCTTAAAGTAAATAAGGGACCAGGGTTGAAGGAATAATGAGGGAAACAAGAATGCAAATTGTGGAGGTACCAACTGATTTTTTCAAAATTCTCCTTTGACTGAGGAGTAATGTCAGAGAACCAGAGATTTGCAAACACTACACTGGAGTATTGTGCATAGTTCTGGGTACCACATTATACGAAGGATGTGAAAGCATTGGAGAAAATGCAGAAAAAGGTTTATGCAAACAGTTCTGGGGATGAGGGAATTCAGTTTGAGGATACACTGTAGTCTGTTCTCCTTGGAGAGGAGAAGGTGGAGAGAAGATTTGATAGAGGTTTTCAAACTCATGAGTGGTCCAGACAGAGTGGATGTGGAAATGATTCCAACTTGTAAAAGGATAAAGAGTGAGAGGGCACAGACTTAAAATAATTGACAAAACAAAAACAGTGCCATGAGGAAAACCTCAGTGGCGAGTGGATGGAATCTAGAATGTGCTGCCTGAGGGTGTCGTGAAGGCTAGTTCAATCCAGCCATTCAAGAAGAAACTGGATTATTATCTGAAAGGGAGGAATGTGCAGGGTTATGGGGAGAAGGCAGGAGAATGGCACCAGGTGAATTGCTCAGTCAGAGAGTTGGTGCAGACTCAATGGGCTGATTGGCCTCTGTCTGCACTGTAGCAATTCTGTACTGAAGTGATTGCAGAGACTCGGGGAAAGAGATGGTCATTACACATACTGTGCATTACTGCATGCCTACACTCTGCTGGAGTGAGCTCTCTTTCCTCAGGCAATTGGACAAATTTCTTAAAGTATTTCTTCAAATTGACTCACATTTTCTCCACCTTCCTTCCCAAGGAGTAAATATTAAGAATTTGTGTTTACATAGCACCTTTAGAGCACCTCAGGAAGTCCCAACATGCTCCACGTCCAATGAAGTACCTTGTTGTAATGTGGAAAAACTGCAGCTGATTTAGGGTTAGGGTTAGCGTTAGGCTTAGGGATCCTGTAATGGTCTACGAAACTATCTGTAATTATTCAGGGCTGACATTTTGGCTCGAACACTAGCAATTTATGTATCAAGTTGGGGGGTAGGGGGGCGGCAGCACCATATGTCACCGTGGAGGGGTCCTTCCTCCTTGCCTTCTTTATTAGTACATTTGGTCACCCCATCAATCCAAGGTTACCACTAGCTTAGACCAACTGCCATTGGTCCTGTCTCCCAGGGAAATTGCAACAGACAATAACACTGGTCCTTCACCTTGAATCAAAGAGTGTCCCATTGAGCAGAGTGCCATTGTAATGATATCGGACGTAGTCGGAGCTCTGTACTGTGCGGTTGCAAACAGTGGGTCTGTGCAAAGTCTTTGTTTGCACCTTGTCATTATGGTTCCAGATATCATGGAGAATGATATCGAAGTACAGAGTGGTATCCGGAGGGATGACATTGTCTGTGAAACAAAGAAGAATGAAAAAAAACTTTGGAAAAGGCATTACAACATTGTTTAATTCCACTTCCCATCCTCTCCCAAGTTAGATTATGGCTTTGTGTCACTGTTGCCTGTGGTACCTTTTCTGGTTTGAGACCCAAGACGGCAAGTAATGGAAACCACTCAATCACAAAGAAACCTGACGCTGCTCTCCTTGGTAATGACACCTAACTTCCTGCTATAAATTCTCAGACAGTTAACCCAAGGCAGCCAGAACTCAGGCTGATACTTCCTCTTCCCATCCAAGGCAGAGCTAAAACCAATCCCTTCTCCCAACTGCCTGGGATCAACAAAATGAGCACACAAAACGGACCACTGATGTCTAGCTCAGTATGATCAAGATAAGGAAAATGTATGTTTCTGACAGATGTCAAATAGATAACGCAACTGTTAACCAGACTGAGTCTAGAAGGTTCAGAGGGGAAAAGAGAAAGCAGATAAGAGAAACAAAGAGAGGCTATGAGGAGAGACTTGCAGCTAATGAGAAGAGACTGGCAGCTAATGTAAAAGGCAATTAGAAAGTCTTCAATGGGCCTATACTGGATAAAAAGGCTGGTAAAAGACGGGGTGTGCCAGTTAGGGGCCAGAAATGGGATTTACATGTCGGTGTAGGGGGTATAGCTGCAATATTAAATCAATACTTTCCATTTGCCTTTACAAAGGAACTGGTCATAATGAAAGACGATTTCAGATGCTTGAAGAGTTTAAAGTTGATAATGTGGCAGACTGGATAGGATGGCTGTACCTAAAGTGGACAAGACTTCAAGATCAGATGAGATGCATTCTGGGACACTGAGAGAAGCAGGAGGCACTGGCTGTAATTTTCTCATCTTCTTTAGATCTGGGGTGATGCCATAGTACTTTAGAATTGCAAATGTTATACCCTTACTCAAAGAATGACTAAAGCTGAGCTCAAAAACTACAGGCCAGTCAGTTTAACCCTTGGTCACATCAATAATTCAAGACAAAATTAATAGCCAAGGAAGCAAATATGGGTTAATTAACGAAAGCCAACTTGGATTTGTCAGGTGCAAGTCATGTTTAATGATTTTTTTTTGCTGAATTTATAGTAAGGGTTGCTGAGGGTAATGCTTTGACATATGTACATGAACCTCCAGAGGAAGTCTGCACAGTAGTGAGTGAAGATTTACTGCATGGAATAAAACGGTGAGTAGCAACATGGATACAATATTGGCCAAATCACAGAAACACAATATTAATTAATGCCAACACAATATGGAACTGGAGGAGCACAGCAGGCCAGGCAGCATCAGAGGAGCGGGAAAGTTGATGTTTCAAGTCTGGACCCTTCTTCAGAAATGATCCCGATCTGAAACCTCAACTTTCCTGCTCCTCCGGTGCTGCCTGGCCTGCTGTGTTCCTCCAGCTCCACACTGTGTTATCTCTGACTCCAGCATCGGCAGTTCTTACTATCTCTGAATTAATTCATGGTAGTCTCTCAAACTGATGGAAGGTTGATAGTGGAATTCCCCAGGAGATGACAGACTCCTGCTCTTCCTCATATTTTTTAATGATCAATTTGATCATTTTTGGATGCAAAAATAAAACTTGCAAGTTTAGTGAATTGTGAGGAAGGTAGTGAAATTAAAATGGACGTAGACAGATTTGTGGAGTGGGCTGCAAGTGGCAATTGAAATTTAATGCTGAAAAATATAGAGTGATTCATTTTAGTAGCAAGGACGTAGGAACTGGGAACAGGAGTAGGCCATTCGGACATCAAACTTGCTCTACCTTCTACCAAATTATGGCTGATATTCCATCTTTGATATACATTTTTCCACATGATACCCATTTCGCTTGTTGTAGTTAATACCTAGAAATCTGTCAATCCCTGTCTTGAACATACTCAATGACATAGCCTTCTGGCTTAGAGAATTCCAAAACTCACCAAGTTGCCTCTTCATCTCAGTGCCAAGTTTCTAACCTTTTATTCTGAGACAACAGAAAGACAATACAAAACAAAGGGTACGATTCTGAAAGGGATTCAGATGCAGAGAAGCTTGGTTTATATGTACACAAATCATTAAAGGTGGCCAGGCAGGATGAGAGTTCTGTTAATAAAGAATACAGTACCCTGGATGATATCAATAGGAGTTAAGAGTCCAAGAGTCGGGAGGTAATGTTAAATTTGTATAGAATACTAGTTCATCCTCAGATGCATTATTGTATCTTGTTCTGAGAAAGATGTGAATGAACTTCAGTTATGTGGATAGAACTGTGAAGTTGGGACTGCTTTCTTTGGAGAAGAAAAAGCAAAGTGGAAATTTGATAGAGGTGTTCAACATCTAGTCAGCAAGACCAAGACAGAGATAAACTCTTCCCATCAGAGGAAGGATCAGGAACCAGTGAACACTGATTTAAGGCAATTAGCAAAAGAAGCATTGGTGACATGAGGATAAACTTGCTCCCACTGCCAAGGCTCAAGGTCTAGAATGCCTGAGAGTGTGGTGGAGCCAGGTTCAAGTGAAGCATTAGGAGCAGAATAAGATGGTTACCTGAAAAGGATAATGTGCAGTGTTATAGGGAGAATCTGAGGGAGTGACATGAACTGTATTGCTCCATTGGAGAACCGGCAGAGGTATGGTGGAATGAATGTCTCCTTCAATGCTGGGACCACATTGTGATTGGGTCATTGAGCAGCACATCAGGTGACCCATCAGCCACTTAGCAACACTGGGGAAGGTGGGTCTTACCGACTCCTTGGCTGCCATATCCAAGGTGGGGGGGAATGACAATACGTCGCCTTTCATTGACACACATTCCAAGGACAGCTTTATCCATTCCTGGGATGAGGCGACCCTTTCCTACTTCAACATTGAAGGTATTGCTGTGGTCATAGCTGTCAGAGTGAAACAGGAGAAAGAAAATATCAGAATCAAAATTCAAACCCGACAAATAGGATCCAGGGATCATGATGGTCACACAGTAACAGGTTCTCTCTTCAAGCTGCAAGCTCCGGTTCACTCAGCTAAGTACGCACTAACTAAAGATAACTTGGCTCAATTCACAAGACTTAGACACACAGCTCCATGCTCAGCCTGATTTTATATGTTTTTAAAATAACTCCATGAAGGCTGGTATCTCGTCACTAAGTCGCCCCTTTATTTACATGTGCACAGTACATGACACTGATCCAACAGCACTGGAACGTGCTGCCAGAGGAGGTGGTGGAAGCAGACACAATAGTAGCGTTCAAGAAACACCTGATTCAGCTGTTACAGAGCCAGCTCTCAGAGTGAATAGAACTTCTGACATGCCTGCTTATATCTGTCAGCCAGGGCTCCCTGATTGGACCAGGTTAACAGCCCCTATCAGGGAACTCATATTCTATGAGATCCACCTGGCAGACCACATTACAATCAAAAACTACCGATCTGTCAGACAGGCAGCAATCATAGTACAGCCATAATAGGCTAAATGGCTTTTTGTGTTAATCCTTTGATTAATTCATTTATTTTCTTTATTTTGCTTGCCTCCACCTTAGGTTCAGGGGTTTCATTTTCCCCTGCCACAACACAATCCATGCCGGCACTGTGTGCCACACCGTAGGAGAACTGCTCTGTGAGGTGCCACCTTTCCAAAGAAATGGCAGACTGGTACAAAAGGTGAAGTCATGTGGTATCAGGGTGAGCTGGCAAGATGGATACAGAACTTGCTTCTATGATAGAGGGTAGCAGTGGGAGGATGCTTTTTGGAATGAGAGTTGTGACTAGTGGTGTTCCACAGGGATCAGAGCTGGGACCTCTGCTGTTCGTGGTTTGCATAAATGATTTGGAGGAAAATGTAGCTGGTCTAATTAGTAAGTTTGCAGACGATACAAAGATTGGTGGAGTTGCGGAAAGTGAGGACTGTCAGAGGTTACAGCAGGATACAGATCAGTTGGAGACATGGGCAGAAAAATGGCGGATGGAGCTTAATCTGGACAAATGTAAGGTGATGCATTTTGGAAGGTCAAGTACAGGTGGAAATTATGCAGTGAATGGCAGAACCCTTAGGAGTATTGATGTGCAGAGGGACTGAGGTGTGCAGGTCCACAGATCACTGAAGGTGGCAGCACAGGTAGATAAGGCAGTAAAAAAGGCCTATGGCATGCTTGCCTTTACTGGAAGGGGCATTGAGTATATGGATAGACAAGTTATGCTGCTGCTTTATAGAACTTTAGTTAGGTCACATTTGGAATATTGCTTACAGTTCTGGTTACCACACTACCAGAAGGATGTGGATGCTTTGGAGAGGGTACAGAAAATGTTTACCAGGATATTGTCTGGTATGGGGGATTTCAGCTATGAAGAAAGGTTGGATAGATTGGGTTTGTTTTCACTGGAACGCAGGTTGAGGCAGCGACCTGATAGACATAAGATTGTGAATGGTATGATTAGAGTGGAAAGTATGAGACTTTTTCCCGGTGGGAGGGGTCACTTACTAGGGGACACAGGTTCAAGTGTGGAGGGAGGGAAGTTTAAAACAAGGTGCAAGGCAGGTTTTTCACACAAAGTGTGGTGAGTGCCTGGAACGTGCTGCCAGAGGAGCTGGTGGAAGCAGACACAATAGCGGCATTCATGAAGCATCTGGACGAATACATGAATAGGAAGGGAATAGAGGGATTTGGATCCTGTAAGTGAAGGCAATTTTAGTACAGAAGGGCAAAATGTTTCGGTGCAGGCTTGGAGGGCCGAAGGGCCTGTCCTTTTGAGAGCTGTCCTGTTGGATGGGAGTAAATGACCCCACAGCACGGTCTCGGGAAAAAAAAGCAGAGGGACGTTCTCTGTAAAGTCAGTATTTATCAATCACGCTGTTTTAACAAAAGATTATCTGATCAATGTAACACTGTGCTTGTGGGAGCTTGCTGTGCGCTAACTGGCTGCATCATTTTCTGAAATTACACCAGCCACAACAAACTGTTCAAAAGTAGAGCGTGGACCATAAAAAGCCTTCATTGTGCAAATTGTCGGTTTTGGAAGCAGATGATGTGGCAGTGGGACAGGAAGCTCTGTTTAGCGTTTCCTTTCGGGGGGTTTGGAGGGGGGATGTGTTAGTTGAGTTTTTACAGAGAGCGTGTCCCAGTGGCAGGATGACATGAACCTTTCCCAAGCAGAGGAACAGCAGCGACCAATACTTCCCCATCTGTATCTAACCCAATCCACTGAGACACTACAGCCCAGTTAACAAAGCTACTCTCCAATTCACTCTATTCATGGGATCCCTAGAATGTGGGACCCTTCCGACGGTTTCTCTCTCATAAAATAACGGCATTTTAAAATAAAAACAAAGACTTTTTTTGGTGGAGAGGGCGGTTCATTAAATGGGGAAGGAACCTTTGCAAATAGACGGTGAAAGAATATCGTGTGGAAAATTGATCCCTTACAGTCCGCTCCGGGAGAATCCTCAGCATTTTGTATTTTTGTTTGCAACAAGGGGTTTTGGATTCACAGTGCAACTTTTTACCTTGAATCGAATTTCTTGCCATCCGCGAAGGTGCCGTTGTAGTGGTAACGGATGAAGTCTCCGCTTTGAACCTGCCGGGAGCACTCGGCCGGGATGAAGTATCTGTCAACAAGAACATCGGAGAGGGGGCCCGGCTCACAGAGAACCAGAGAGAACAGGACACACAGGCCGGGGAGCAGGGGGGTACTCATCGTGAGAACCGACCTGCACGGGGATTGGGAGGAGGTAGAGAGAGAGAGAGTGAAACTGACCTGGAGGAGAGAGAGAGAGTGTGGAAGTGACCTAAAAGAGAAGGGAGAGAGTGTGAAACGGATCTGGAGGAGAGAGAGAGAATGGAAGTGATCGGGAAGAGGAGAGAGAGTGGAAGTGATCTGGAAGAGGAGAGAGAGGCCGTGAAACTGACCAGGAGGAGAGAGAGACAGAGAGGAAGTGATCTGGAAGAGGAGAGAGAGAGTGGAAATGATCTGGAAGAGGAGAGAGAGTGGAAGTGATCTGGAAGAGGACGGAAGAGAGTGTGAAACTGACGCGGTGAAATGAACAAGCTGTTGAAAGGCTGGATCTGCAGTCTCTGTGGCGAACAGAGTTCTGTCTAACTGGCCTCACACACACCCTTCCCGTCACTGGGATTTTTTTCCTCTCTTTCTGGAATGTTGTAAACGTGTGCGGAGGTCTTCCCGGCATATAGCTGTCCCAAGATTTGGCAGCTCCGACTGTCTCTGGCTCGAGTTTACCCAGTTTAATCGGGAGCGGCTCTTGGATTAACTCTCAGTTTAAAGTCAGTTCTCGGTGAGTTGGGGGCTGGAGGTTTGAGAATTGATTGATGGGAATCGGGGAGAACAGCTTTTCACTTAGTGAAGTCAGCAAGATCCCAGGAATCAGGACCTCTGCTGTGGGGACTCCTACGGGTCCTAGAGACCACTTGCAGTTCCTCATTGTCTGGGTGTGAACTGGATTTCTCGCGGACCCCAGTCTCCTCTGTTCATTTTCACCCTGTCTGGGGAAACATTAGACCATAAAAATCTTTTTGCAGTGAAGCCTCTCCGAGCCTGGAGCCGAGCCCCGCATCACAACCCCTGAGAGGGAATAGTAAGAACTGCAGATGTTAGAGTCAGGGTCGGTACAGTGTGGAGCTGGAGGAACACAGCAGGTCTGGCAGCATCATGAAGGGTCCAGGCCCGAAACGTCGACTCTCCTGTTGTTCTGATGTTGCCTGACCGACTGTGTTCCTCCAGCTCCACACTGTATCGACCCTCAGAGGGAAGGGTCTCACAGACTCCCCTCCCCCCTCCGCCAGTAGGCAATAAAGAGCAGAACTAATTCCAGATGAGGAAGAATTTTAAATCATTAAATCTTTGGCGTCTTTTTTTGTTTACAGCTTTTAAGTAAACATTTGAATTCCTTTATAAACGTAACTGGGTCTGTACGAAGGTTATACCTCTCTGTTTTATTAAAATTCCTTGTAACTTGTTTTTCTGTTTGATGTTTCTATATAAAGTCAATCCGATCCTTCTCAATAAAATCCTGTAATGTTTTACAGGTCAATTATCGTCTCTCTTTTTCATTATTTACTTTGTTAATCTATTCAGGGACACATTTGTTTAGGAACAGACATAGGCCATTCAGCCCGTCCAGCCTGCTCCTCTATTCAAATAGTTCGCGGCCGATCTTTCACTTCAATTATTTCTGTCCAGATCATCGTATGACCGAACTTCCTCGGGCCTCCGGGTGAAGAATTCTAAAGATTCACCGTTCTTATTATTGAGTCCGGAGGACTGTAGGGTCCCCAAGTGGAAAATGAGGTGTTGTTCTTCCAGCTTGCGCTGAGCTTCACTGGAACACTGTAGCAAGCCAGAGACAGAGATGTTGGCCAGGGAACAGGGTGGTGCATTGAAGTGGCAGGCAACAGGTAGCGCAGTGTCTTTTTTGCAGGCAAAACGTAGATGCTCTGCGAAGGGGTTGCCAAGTCTACGCTTTGTTTCCCCAATGTAGAGGAGACCACATTGTGAGCAGCGGATGCAGTAGACTAGATTCTGGGAAGTGCAGGTGAAGTGTTTCTTCACCTGGAAGGTATGTTTGGGCCCTTGGATATTGGGGAGGGAGGAGGTAAATGGGCAGGTGTTGCACCTTCGCCGGTTACAGGGGAAGGTGCCGTGGGGCTGTGGGGGGGGTGGGGGGGTGCAGTGTTGGGGGTGAAGGAAGTGTGGACCAGGGTATCCCGGAGGGAACGGTCCCTGCGGAAGGTGGACAAGGGAGGGGAGGGGAATATGTGTCTGGTGGTGGCATCTTGCTGGAGGTGGCAGAAATGGCGTCTGATGATCTTCTGGATGTGGATGCTAGTGGGATGGTAGGTGAGGAATAGGGGAACCCTATCGCTGTTGCGGGAGGGAAGAGAAGGGGTGAGGACGGAAGTGCAGGAGATGGGTCGGACCCGGTTAAGGGCCCAGTTGACAACGGTGCTGGGGAATCCTCGCTTGAGGAAGAAGGTGGACATTCCGGATGCTCCCTTGTCGAAGTTGGCCTCATACAGGACGGAGGTGGAGGAGCTGAGAGAATGGGGTGGAGTCTTTACAGGAAGTGGGGTGTGAGGATGTATAGTCCAGGTAGCTGTGGGAGTCAGTGGGTTTGTAATGAGATATTAGTGGCCAGTCTATCCCCAGAAATAGCATCAGAAATGTCGAGGAAGGGAAGAGAGGAGTCAGAGATAGACCAGGTGAAATTATTAATTTTTTGTCAGTCGGCACCCTAGCTGATCTTTCTCCCTCCCCTTGCCCAATTCCTCCAGAGTCTATATTTCAGCTGCAGTTAGATAGAAGTTAACATTTTTAAAATACAAATCCTTCCTTCTTTAAAACGAACAATTTATTTCAGCAAAATTTTATCTCCAGCTTCTGAAAATTATGAATCTATTAAAGATCAAATTTAATTTAAATAGAGTTGTGTCCATTAGTCCCAAATAGTGGTGCTGATTATGTTTGAAAGTTTTTGCAGAGTAACGCAGTCCGCATTTGAAACACAGAATTATATAGTTTGTGTTTTGCTCGTTTTTGGAGAAAGGGGCAGAATATTTCACCCTGTTGCAACCTATTTCCCACTGTGGACTACTTGAGAAATGATTTCAGAAGCTGCCTGTCTGTTAGTCTGCAGTCAGGTTTTCAATCCCTAATTTGTCCGAATTTCGATGTCATTGTGAAAAGAAAGATGTGACTCGTGTTTTTAAGAGGAAAAGTGCAGCAACACCTGGGCACAGCTGGACAGCGGCTTTGGTGGGATCTGCTGCCCCCTGGTGTCGTTGCGTTCTCAGAGCAGCTACAAGATCCTGAACAAAGTGGCGTCTGACTACAGCAGCATCGGGGCGAACGGGCTCTGTCAGATATTGGGAACTTTCCCACCTCTGCCCCGTGATCATCAGCGTGAAATATTGGCGCTAGGTTTTCACACGTTTCCTGTTCCTATCGAGTTTCCTCTGCTGCTGGTCTATTTCAAAGGGTCCACCTCACCTCAGTCTATTTCTCTTCAGTGGGTCACTCCCCCGCCCTGCCTTCCCAAAACCGACAATCCCCTTTTGGCTGGTCGCACCCCATCCACCTCAATGTCAAAGAAATCCTTTCGTCCCTTGTACTTCTTGGAGTCAGCACCATCTGGATCCAAACCGGTCGGTGAGACTGAAAATCAAGCCACCTTCCTTCTGGATACAGTTTATTAACTATTCAGTCTCACAGCTCTCCCCAACCCACTGTTGTGTTACAGCTCCTCAGCCAGGAGAGTATTAAATTGCTTAGCAGGCTCCAGGGGGTGAATGGCTCGCTACTGCTTTTAGTTTGTTCCTTATATACGTGCCCAAAGGATATTTTCTAATTAACCTGCACAGAGGCGTTAACAAATATTAACAGGAAACGCAGGGCGGATAAAGATAATCTATTCCCACTGGTTGGGGATTCTAGAACTCGGGGCATAGTCTGAGAATTAGGGCCAGATTGTTCAGGAGAGATGTTAGGAACCACAGCTACACACAAAGATGTTTGGAGCTCTCTTACACAAATGATAGTTGATTCTGGATTAGTTGTTACTTTTAAATCTGAGAAGGATAAATCTTTGTTAAGAAAATGTATTAAGGGATATGGACCAAAGGAAGATTTGTGGAGTTAGGCCACAGATCAGCGATGACCTCATCAAATGGTGGAACAGGCTGGAGGGGCTGAATGGCCTACAACTGCTGCTATAACACACCTCTGGAGCAGGGGGGGAATTAAACTTGGGCCTCTTGGCTCAAAGGTAGGGACACAAGAAACTCCAGCCCTTACATATTTTTTAAACTACTAACTGCCGCCAATAATTCCTTACACATGCCTTTTTAAAACTGCTAACCAGTAAAACACCTGTGTAGCCAATTCAATATTTCCATACAAAACCCATTATGAGCAATGCAAACCATCAAAAGTGAAAAGCCCTCACATATGTTCTCAGACATTAATAGCTACCACCTGTTTCTTTTAAACATTAAAGGGAAACAAACGATTATATTTTCAAAAAGGTGAACTTAAATGATGTGATTAACTGAACATTAACGTTCACAACTTCAAGATGTACCAAAAAAGATCTCCCCCCTTACTGCTCTTGAGATGCCATAACATCATAATGGGAGTCACTGGATAGCTGGTTAGTGACACCAAGAGGGTGGGTTCAATACTCTCACTGGCTGAGGTTACTATGAAGGAGACTCCTTCTCAACGTTTCCCCTTGTCTGGGGCATGGTGACCCTCAGGTTAAACCATCACCAGTTGTCTCTCTCTAATGAGAGAGCAGCCCTATGCTCTGGTGGGATTGTAGTGACTTTACTATTTACCTAGTGGAGGAAACACATCAACTTGTACACACAAGATGCCACTAGTAGTAGTAATAACTACCAAAATATGTTCAGCACCATTCATGACTCCTCAGATACTGAAACAAATCCAACACAATCTGGACAACATCCAGGCTTGGACTGGCAAGTGGCATGTAAGATTCACATCACACAAACGGCAGGCAATGTCCATCTTCAACAAGAGACAATCCAACCACCATCCCTTGACATTCAATGGTGTAACCATCACTGAATCCCCCATTATCAAAATCTTTTGGTCTATCATTGACCAGAAACTCAACTGGACTTGCCACATAAACACAATGGCTACAAAAGCAGATCAGAGGCTAGGAATACTGCAGCAGAAAACTCACCACTTGACTCCTGAAAGCCTTTCCACCATCTACAAGGCACAGGTCAGGAGTGCGATGGAATACTCCCTGGATAGATGCAGCTCCAGCAACACTCAAGCAGCTTGACACCATCCAGGACAAAGCAGCACTACATCCACAAACATCTATTTCTTCCACTAGTGATACTTAGACACAGCAATGTTCACAGAAGATCCTCAGACAGCACCTTCCAAATCCATGACCACTTCCATCTAGAATGACAAGGATAGCAGCTATGTGGGAACACCATGTCCTGCAAGTTCCCCCGCTAAGACACTCACCATCCTGACTTGGAAATTTATCACCATTCCTTCACTGTTGTTGGGTCAAAATCCTGGAATTCCCTCCCTAATGGCATTATGGGTCAACCCACAGCAGCTGGACTGCAGCAGTTCAAGAAGGCAGCTCACCCCCACCTTCTCAAGGGCAATTAGGGATAGGCAAGAAATGCTGACCCATATAGTGTTACCCACAACAACAAAAATAAAGTTACTGGAAAAGCTCAGCAGATCTGGCAGCATCTGTGAAGGAGAAAACAGAGTTAACATTTTGGGTCT